AGACTATAAGGGCAATATGTGCTCTAATTTTTTTTAATTTAATTTTTTCCCATCACCATTTATTGCCCCATACCCTCTTATGCTCTTATTTTAAAATGCTTTTTAATAGACAGGAAAATATAAAAAAGAAAACAAATTCCCCATAATCCCATAGCTTAAAGATGCCACTGTTAGCATCTTGGTGTATTTGCCTCCAGTACTTTTTTCTAGGCATGTACATAACCATAACTGGGATCATTTGGGGGAACGTATTTTGGGGCCCACTTTTCTCACCTGACATAATGTTAACATGTTCCCATAGCATTAGAATTTCTTCAAAAGCATGGCTCTTAATGCATGTATAATACTATATTATATGAATGTATTTTATTTTTATTTTAACCATTCCTCATGTTGCTGTAAATTGTATCTTTTTTGCCTTTTATAAGTAATTCTGCATTAAGCATCTTTGTACATAATTATTTGTGTGATTTTCTGATTATTTCCTTGGAGATAAATTCCCAAAGGGAATCCCTGAATCAAAGGGTATGAGTGTTCTAAAGGCTATTACTGGGTACTGACAACTGTCCCCCATGGAGTTTTTAACAATGTTAATACATGTATAGATTTGTGTAACTATTACCATAATCAGGATATGAACAATCCCATCGCCCAGTAACCTCCCTGTAATCCTTCATAGTCATCCCCTTTCCCCTCACATAACCCCTAGAGGGTTATGGAATATTTAATTCCATAGTGTGAAACTAACTGGCCATTCTCAGCTAATCATCTTAACAGCGTTATGAAGTCCCCAAGTTAAAATAACGCATTCAGGTATTATTAAGTTCCTGAATCGGGTTGCAATAGCAGCCAAGACTGTTCCTGGAGCGAGTGGATCTGGTGAGGACCCCGCTAAGAGCAGTGCCTGAAAGTCTATTTCTAACTGTTAGGACTGTGAGGCGTACACACTGAGATTTGACCTCTGGACTGTGGGGCTTGGGGGTGAGGAAGCCAAGAAAAGCCGGGAGTATGATTAGTGGGAATGGAATTGCTCGTAGTTATAGAGTTGACCCTCGAGACAGAAGTCTAAATTGCAAGGTTCAAGGACGTAGGCTGAATATGTGTCAAGTGTGACTTGGACTTAACATAGTGGCACTGATAGGTAAGGGTCTGACTTGGGTGACACAATGAAGATACTCATCCCAGGCAGAGACAGCATCTTGGTTTGATGGAACTGGGAGGATGAGGAAGGGAGGAAGTGGGTATCTGCCTACTTTGAGACAGAAAAGGCGGGTGGGGATGGTAAGAGCATTGTCTAGGTTCTTGGGCAAGAGGGGTTCACAAGGACTCCACTGGACATCAGGACTCTGCTAAATAGGCAGGTGAACAGGTGAGCCTCTCATTCTAGGGAGGGAATTGGAGGACCAGTTAGGAATCAAGCTGGCAGCTCAGTGGCCCAGAACACAGTGGGGGTTAGGTACTTTCCAATGAGATCATGTGACTCTAGGCAGTGGTTCTCAAATTTTTGTGTGTAGCAGAATGCTTCCAAAACCTGGAGGTTTCAGTAAAACACAGAGTCCTGGTCTCCACCGCCTAGGCTTCTGACTCAGTAGGTGTGGGGTGGGGAGTGAGAATTTCTGACAAGTTCCCAGGGATGCTGCTGCTGTTCCTTTGGGGACCACCATTGAGCCACTGCTCTAAGGCAAAGAAAAAAATTGAGATTAGACGAACAATCATCACGGATGGAAAGGGGGCTCCTAAATGAATTGAAGGGCTTGGTAGAGCGAAAGTTGCAGCTCAGTGTGTTTTGTGCTCCCAGGATAGGCATTGGTGGGAAGACCTTTTTTCAAGCATCACTGGAATTCTTGCATCACTAGCATTCTTTCAAGCATTTGTAATAACTGCGATGTCAAGTGACATCATTCTGATTTAAATTGCTTGGATCTATAACTGCCAGTCTCCGCTGCAGAATCCATTTTCTTCCTCTTGTAAGGCTAATTCTCTTTGCTTATTTGAAGAGTAATAAAAAACAATGCTTCCTTACATTAGTATAGCACATTCTAACTTAGAGAATGTTTTCACATGGTATCTCATTTGATCTCCCAAATTCTGTGAGGGAGGCAGGCAGGTATTTTTGTCCCATCTTTTGGACTACTGGGTCTCAAAGTATGGTCCCTGGACCTGCAGTGCCAGTGCCACAGAGGAACTTGTTAGAAATTCGAATCCTGGCCCTTTCCCAGACCTATTCAATCAAGTCTTGGAGGAGGGGGGGGGGCAATCATTTGTACTTCTAACAAGTTTCCAGGTGATGCTGATGTTGGTGCTGCTGGTCCTGGACCACACTTAGATGAAAACCACTACAATAGATTAAAATGAAAGATCAGGAAGCCTGGGGACTTGTCTTAAGAGGACTACTACTAGGTGCTTTTTCTATACCTGCTGTATCCCTGGCCCATGCCCTATCCTTCCAATCCCAGCTCTATTGCTTATGAGTTTGAGGCCCTGAGCAAATACTCTAAATTGTAATTTCCTCACCTGTAAAGTGGGTATAATGGGATCAACTTCTTTGGGTTGTCATGAAGACTAAACAAGATCTAGGTGAAGTACTTAGCACTGTGTCTGTGCTTAATAAATGCTAGCAATTGCCATGACTTTTATGAAAGTTATTAAAAGTGTGACATTTCACTAGAATGAATACCTTCGTAAGTTTTTTTGAGTGTGTGTCCCTCTTAAAATGGGGGATATTCCTGGCCAATTTACACATTAAGTCACCTCCTCTTTGACACTCATCTGGGATGTTTCTGTGATTGCCATGAGTATTTGCTGAGAGCTGGGTGCCCAGGACATGAAGCAGAGGAAACCAGCATGTGCAACAATGTATGGAATGGCAAACAACAGTGACTTTACTGAGGAAACAGAATAGGGGGACCAGGGGGAGTATGACTGAGGGAGGAAGCAACTGGAGAGGGCAGTCAGAGGTGAGAGGCAGGTTATCAAAAACAATCTACCTCCTTCCAAAGTTGTCCCCAAGGCTAGGCTCCTGGAGGCGAAGCCAGGCCTCAGAGGATCCGCCCTGCTTTTGCTGCTGTCAAGGGGGTGAACACTCAGGTGCGCACAATAAATGCCCTGAGAGGCCCTCCGAGGCTAGCTGACAATTGCGGTCACAGGGAGTTTGGGCTCCAAAGTGGCTTTGTCTTCAGAGTGGCTCCTGTACACTCAGGCCAGGGACATGGTCTTTCTAGCGGAGGTCTACGATGTTCTTTCTCAGGTGTCCTGCCCCCGCCTCCGGAAGCGTATTGTATCTTATCTGAGTAGTGCAGCCGGAGTCCCCCGCCAGGAGATGACCCAGACCTTTCCAACGGAATTAAAGAAAAGAAACAAAAGCGGCAAGTTCAGGCCCCGTGGGCACTGCCGGCTGCCAATGGGGCTCGGCCGCTCCCAGGCGGAGTGGTACTATGATGACAGTAGCCAATCAGCGAGCTCCATGCAAATCAGGTACTGTATCCTGCACCGCTGCTCCGGTGCCATCAGCTTGCACAAGTGATAAACTGAGGCCTTGCGTCTCGGCTTCTCCCAGTAGGAGAGGGGCAGGGGTTGGGGGGTAACCTCCTTGCTTCCCCCAGGATAGACCGAAAGAAGGGACGAAGAAGGGGGATGGGTAAGGAAGAGAAAAAGACGTGACAAAGAAAACATTCTCTGCCTGGGAGGAGGCTGACAGAGGGTGTAGAACTGGAGGGAGCAGTCGCTGGCCATGCCAGTACTTACCACTGATGCTGAGTCAGAAACAGGTATCCCAAAATCCCTTTCCAATGAGCCTCCTTCAGAAACCATGGAGGAAATAGAGCACACATGCCCACAGCCTCGACTGGTAAGTAAAGACAAAGGATGCAAATGTATGCGTGGCTATGGCACAAAAGAGTTCCCTATGCGCCCGCAGCCAGCGAGGGAAAAGATGCTTAGAGGATTTTCATGTAAATGAGAACGGAGCTGCCGCCTAATCCTTCTCAGCTGTTTATATTTAGCTTCTCTACCGGCGCTGCGCTCCGCTTACAAAGCATTATTGTACCGGCTGGGTAGGAGACGGGCTGCTTGGGCTCTGCTGTGTTGTCTTGCCTGGGGAGGAGGGGATGGCCTTTTTCCTTTTAAGTGTGTTCTTGTCTGAAGATTAAAAAAATCCTACAGTGCAATTGGAAAAAAAAATGGTATTCGCTTCGCAAAGCTTGGGATGAGTCCCTTAAGTTCTCTAAGGACTGATTCAGTCCTCAACTAATGTTGGTGCCTAATGCCAGGTTTGGAAAAACGAAGACGACATGGAAGCAAACTTCCCCATTCGTTTGAAAATTTCAAAATAACTAAAACAGTCCCTCGAGTATGTATTTAGAAGTAATGTGTATCTTAAATGAATTGTAAGCATTTCTGGGTGTGCTGTCAGGGTTTCTCTTCAGGTCTGGGAAGCTGGGGGAGCTACCTTTACTTAGCAAGGGGCTGCGTGCCTTCAGTAAGTGTGCAAACGGGGCACTCAGAGCTTCCTTCCTTCTCAGTAACTGCTTCTCAACCGCCTCAGCATGTATCCTCAAGGAATCAAAAACACCAAACGGGTGGTAGGTTTTCCCTCATCTGAAGTCTTGTGGAACTTGGGGAGACCTCTCTTTGGACCCTCAGATCCAAGCCATACACTAGTTAGAGCTATAGCATTTCCCTCAAGTTAAAAGGTACAATATTTTGATTGGCTGTGGCGTTTGACCCTGGGAAGAGGTTTTTTTATTTTTATTGTTTTTAAAGGATTTTGTGATGTAGCATTTTCTGTGAACTCCAAAATGAAGGCTCACAGATTCCAAAGCCAGCCCATCCTGGAACTGTTATTTCTTCATAGGGGTTCAAAGGCAGGCTTAGAACAACTTCCTAATACATGAAAACAAAGGAAGTGATATTAGAGCACTGTGGGCTTTTATTTACTCTGCTTCTGTTTTTTAAAGTATATTTTGTTAGGGCAATTTGCTATTAACTGCTCTCCAGCACTTTAAGCCTCTTACTGAATGACATACACAAACAATGTAGTACCTATGTTCTCACAGGATACAAACCATCCCACTAAGTTTGTTACCAAGGGATCTCTGAGTCACTAAATACCTCATGGTTTAGCAAAGAAAAAAAAAAAGACCACTAAAAACTTGTTACAAGATCACCCAAAAATAGTTTTAAAAGTTAAACCCAATGTTCAAATTTGCGTCACACTTCCTGACAGGTAGATAAAGGGCAGGGGAGAGAAAGGCAACATCCAGTTCCAGTTTGTATATCCGTTCAGCCTCTTGTGCCAAATTCCTTTCCTTCCCTCTTTGCCTTTTAGCTATTCTGCTCCTTGCTTGCTTCTGCCTGAGAGGGTGGGCAGAGGAAATCAAGGGAAGGAAGAAAGTTCAAGTACTTTTCACTTTCACTTGTGACAGCTCATCCTGGAGTTAACTCACAAGAACCATGCAAAGCTGGCAGTGTTACACTTCCATCTCCCCGCTGCTTTAGAAATGAGGAAACAGGTTCAGAGAGGGTAAGCAACTTCCCCAAAGTCACATTGCTTCGAAGGGTAGATCTGGGTTTGAACCCAGAGCTCTACACCTGCAAAGTAGAAGCTCTTTCCTCTATGACATACTCTTTAATATATATATATTAAATATATCTTTGTTGATTTCAGAGAGAGGAAGGGAGAAAGAGAGAGAAGCATCAATGATGAGAGAGAATCATTGATTGGCTGCTTCCTGCGCACCCCCTGCTGGGGATCGAGCCCACAACCCGGGCATGTGCCCTGACTGGGAATCGAACTGCAATATCTTGGATCATAGGTCAGTGCTCAACCACTGAGCCATGCCATCTGGGCCCTATAACACACTCTTAAGTGAGATACATTCCCTTCCCATCTTTTTGGCAGTTCTGGCATAAAGTGTGTGTGTGTGTCTATGTGTGTGTATCTGTGTATGTGTGTGTGTATGAAGGATGTACAGAAGTTCCACCGTTAAAGTGATTGCTTTGATCTACTTTTGATAAAAATGTTCCATGTTGTCCATCGTTATCATGGTCTACTGGAAATCGGCTCTGTTTAAGGGGCTGCAACGAATTTATAAACCACTACACTAAATTTTTTGAAGCACCTTTTTTCTTATGAGCAAACTTTGATCACTGTAGGGGTATATTTTAAATTCTGACTTAGACTTCAGAGCCTAACTTCCCTTTGCTAATGATTTTACTTTAATAATGAAGGCACATGCTAACTACTTAATAACAACGTTTGTTCATGAAGAGAGTGAGTGGCAAGTGAAAATGCTAAATGCACATTGCTTTTTAAGGTTTTTAGTAGTTTCTGTTGATCTTTAGCTTTGCTAATATCTTCATATTTCAAATAATATGAATTCTGTGTTTCTCCCAGCACCCAAGCATATTGCCCAAAATGACACATGGGTCGCTGGCGCCACAACTGTCAGCCACAACTGTGTTGCTGCTGAGTTGCTTAACTAACTGGAAAGTGCATGAAAGACTTGAGAGGTTCCCCTGCAGAGGACAAACTCCTTCCCCTACTTGTCACCAAACTTGAATTCATACAGTTTAGAGAAAATGGGACTCAGTAAAAAACATCATTTTTTAAAAAGTAGCAATTACCAAAGTGGTTCTCATTGTATTAGCTGAGGCACACACTGGCTCCCCAAACTCACTCTAACTTTACTTAGGGACAATGGAAAAGGAAATTTCTGAGATTATAAGAGCTATAAAGCTTTATTATAAGTCCCAGAACTTATGTCACTGAATGTTATTGTTTGTAAATATTGATTTTATTTAAATCTCAGCAGTTGTGCAAAATGCTCTTTTTTGTAGTGAACTGGGCATGACACTCGAGAAGATGTGTACAGTGTTTGTGTCTACATGTGTCTGTCTCTATATTATTTTTAGGGGAGGTTTTCTGTTGTGATCCAGTTTAACTCAGCCCTCATCGATTGAGTACCTACTACATGCTGAGCTCTGAGCTCAAAGTACCTCAAGTACTTTGTGATCTAGAGATTCAAGAAGAGACTGAAACATAATCATAGTTTCCATACAGGTTAATAAGGGCACAGCATGCTAAGAGTTTTGTTACCAGGTATAGTGGGGACAGAAAGGAGGGTGGTGAACTCCCTGGGAGTGAGTCAAAGTTTGCCATGGGTATGTTTAGTAGAGACCTCCCTTGTCATCACTGTATCTCTGGCCTCTAATACAGAGCCTGGCATAGCTCTTTAAGGAAATGAAGCTGACATACCTAAGTAAAGAGGATTTTAAAGCAATCTATATTTTAGATCCTTACAAGCAGCAAATTGGTACGGATATTGAGGATACAATGGAATCATGTTCAAGAGGAAATTTTTTTCTGAAAGGTATACCTGTAGCCTTTCCACCTGCCTTATTTTTCATTGGAAGAAAATATAAGAAAGGAGAGGAGAGAGTAGAATTAAATAACACTGAATAAAGAAATTAGGCACAGACAACAGTGCAGTGATGGCCAGAGGTGAGGGGCCCTGGGTGGAGGTGAGCAGGGGGGGGGCTGGGAATGGGGACATCTGTAACAGTGTCAACAATAAGAATAAATAAAAAATAATTTTAAAAAGATTAAAAAGAAATTATGAAAGAACAGAAGATTGCCTAGGTTTTATGCTGGAGCTTATATTTGGGGAACATAATCTTATTGCACTGGCTACTTTGCCATGCTGCATGGGTTTGAGACGTTTCTTCTTTCAGTTACTACAATGTTTATCTCAATCCTTGATTTGGTTTCTGTTCTTTGTTATTTTCTTGCTTCAACATGATGCAAGGTGACTCATAAGCTTGACAGTCAAGCAGAGAAACTGAGTAGCCTTGGGCAACATGATGTAACAGCCCTCCTTGAAGACCCAACCCCTGAGGGACGAGGAGTCCTTGCCGGCAAGGACTGTGCCTTCTCATCTCCCCAGCCCTCAGATTTTGCCTAGACAAACCCTGCGGGCCCAGCAGGTGTTCCATAAATCCCTTCTAACAAGGCCTAGCCACCCTGAAGCTGTCTGCTTAAGGATTTGGTTAACAACCTTGGTCAGGTTCTTCTAGGAGTGCATTCTGCTGTCAGAAGGAAGTTGTAACTCTAGCCTGCAGTCGTCACTTCCATGAAGATGGATGTGCCACAGATCAACTGAGAAGGCCTTGGAAATAAAAACGGCTGGTTCAATATGCCACTTTAGCAGGAGTTCATTTCAGGCTTTACTTCAAAGGGGAGCAGTGCCAAGAGACTGCTGTCTTGCAGAAGGTGCATTATGTCAGCTGAGAGGTAGGATGCTCACCGGCTGGTGCTCCAAAAGATGACGGATTTCCAAGGACATCAGTGGCTTCCTTTACTAGTATTACCATCTACTTAGCCACTCAGAGCTGCATACATTTTAAAAGCGAGACACTTAATGTGCTGTGTTAGTGAAAGTAAACAAACATGGGCTTCCTTGGGCATTTACTGTGGTCAACTGGAATTCTGCCCACAGTTATTATTAGACATTTTCCTGCTGGTCTCAGTCCAAATGCAACATTCATTTCTTGTGGATTGATCACAGTCAAGCATATTGAGCATGAGATCAATCAATTCATTTCTTCTATTTTTTTTTATTTGTAGTTTTTAAAAAAATTATTATTGACAGTATTAGAG